AAAAAAAATGAAATGCTATTATGAACCACTCTGCAGTAAAGCAAAAGTAATGAAAAGTAAAAAATCAGGTCTGCAGCACATATGGGTAATAATGTTATTACATGCTGCAGGCATAGGGGTGGCTGTTTTCTAGGAGATGACACAGTTTCTTCCCCCGCCCACTAAGACTTGAGGCTTTGATTGCAATCCAATTCCTCAATCTGATTTCATACGACTGCGGTCTAATTCTGATTTGAATTTGTCACCACTTTCAGTAGCAGACACTAATTCAGCAGTTTTGCTTGGAGACTGGGGAGAGAGATTAAAGGGACTAAATCTGTCAAAGGTTAAAAAAAATACCTGCAGCTGCTTGATATAATCGCAATATTTAAGCATGTTGATTAAATAGCAGAGGATGCTTACCACTAATGGGAAGAGTATATAATAGTTGCCAATGAATTTTCGCAACTCCCACTGTAACTCCAGAAAACATTTCTGTGCTCTCCTCCATTCATTTACAGAGGAAAGCCCTTCTTGGATGAATCAGTAATGTCTCAGTTCTTTCAGATTCCTCATTAAGATCTGTGTCTGCTGCAAAATTTAGGTTGGGGGACAGTCAGATTAAATTTAAAGTGTACACATCACAAGTTGGTGTAGTCACGTGATGTTATTACCAATATATACACAATCCTTCTGTTGTGTTATGCTTTTTTAAGTTAAAATGAAAGCACTTTCCAGTATCTAGAAAGTAAGGGGGCTCCACCTGACATTGACTATGCAGCTGACTACTAATACTTCCCTTATGGCTCTACAGGCTGAAAAAATATGATAAAGAGCACCTGGCAAGAGACCCTATTTAGATTACAGGTAAAGGTGAAGTAGACTGTCAGTGAGACACGGCACTAAGGTTGCTGACAGACATGGGGAAAAAAGCACTTTACCAGAAGCAGCAGGGCATTGCCTTGACCCAGCTCTGTAGCATCTGTAGAGATTGAGTGTTTAGGTGTGGCTTTTTGGTGCTTTTATCTAATAGCTGATTCAATCAGCTATTAAAAGTGCCAAAAATGCCCTACTAAAGTGCCCAATCTCTACAGATATTGGGAAAACTGGGTGCAACTAATGGACTGCCTCTTCCGGGCATGTGCTGGGCTCGGTGTGGGAGTGCTCTGAGTTTAAAGTAAAGTGCTGTGTTCTTAGGCTCAAGCAGCCTAAGAGAGCAGTCAGCTGTATGGTGCCCTGACTGGATTTTTCCAGCCTAGTAAGATGTAGTCCCAGGCAAGCCAAGCGGGTTGTGACAAGTATATAAAATACTATGGCAATATAACCAGAAACAAAACAAAGCTGCAATCTGTTGGGCAGGTTGATGGGGTAAACAGTGCTCTAATTACTGTTATTGATTCCTTCTAGGGTCTTGGAAGATACCTGTTCAATACAAACTTGAGTAACTCAGTTAGGAGATAGCCACAGTCAAGACAGCCAGGATCACGTGTCAGTTTCTTCTGACAATTTTCTTTAGGGAACCAGCTTAATTTTGACCTATTGGTGCTGTCAACAGCACTTCTTTCTCAACAGTATGAAAGGAAGTCAACTGGTCTCAAAGAAATAGCAATGGCAGTGGATTCATTAACTGGTAGGTGGAATCAACCAGTAAGATCAGCTGTATTTATTTCTGAAGTGACCTTTTATGTCATAAAGGAGATAAATAATTTTGATTTCAAATACCAAATGAAGCACAGAGAAAAAGACAAATAAAAAACTGCCTAACACATCTGACAATAACTTCCTTTACCACATTTGGAGTTTCCTTTATTTGAAAGTCTAGTACATATGAAAAGCAAAGCATTTAAGGTAAAATGAAACAGACTACTAATGGCATGTCAAAAGTGAAGTATGTCTGTATACAAGAAACTTGCACAAAACAAATGCCCACGATTCCCTGTGGAGGCACAAACTTATTACAGGAGAGATCATTTACAATTTAGTTACATTCATGACTATGCGCAAAATACTCATTTTCTTGATTTGAATCTAAAAACTTCTAAACTAAGGCCCCAATTCTACAATCAATAGTGTGCAGGCATAAATTCACTTTCATGCTGTCAGTTGCAAGATCAAAATGTAATACCAGATCGAAAGGACATTATAGTATTATTGGGAGTGTTACCACTCACATCCATGGGTTTTGAATCAGACACTTATGGTCACACCATTCTGGCCTCCTTACAGAGGTGAGAGTTTCACCAAAGGCAGATGGAGTCATGCTGGAGGAAGCTGTGCAGCATTGACCCTTGTATGTTTTAATGAATCCAGTTATGATTAGGATTGGTTACCAAAGTCTTACTTTGTTTAAGAAAAACAAAAATTATTTCTGGAATCATAGTAGCTTTGAAGAACAGAAACAATATATAATCACAAGTTAGTGCCTGCAATACAAATAACTTCAAGATTTTTTGCAGCAGTGTAAAAAGTTGTAGTGTTGGTATTTAAACATTTTCATTCCTAGAAACTATGATGTCTGTAAAAGGTTACAAAATGTTCAGCAGCATTGTTACAATTTGGTATTGCTAGCTAGCTCTTTTATGCATCCAAACACATTTCCTAAGGCCTAGTTTAGCAGGGCACTTGAGAATGTACTAAGAGGACAGGATGGATTCACATGCATAGTTAATTAAGAGCTTTGTTGAATCAGGGCCTATATTCTGAACCTCTGTGGTGCGTGTGTGTGTACATGCATGTGTGTGGTGAAATATTAATAAATTATACAGACAAGCTGACATCTTGTAAATATCCCTAATGAGGCAATTTTATTATCCTCACTGTATTTGCCTAAAATATCAGTAATAGGCCCTGGAGACTACAAGGATGACAACATGTGCATAGTTTAAAAATTCTCCAATCATTTTCTTTCTTCTGGTTTTTCAAACTAATGATATTAATAAGAAAAAAATCAAATGAAGTCTCCCAAAGAAATTTTTGACTAAACATTTTTCCAGTTCAATCTTCAAACAACCCTGAATATTTTATAATAAAAAAGAGATCTAGAAGTAGCATTCACAAATCAAACAGTATCAGTTTTGCTTAAAGCATCAGTTTCTTTCTTTTGCTCTGCTGTGACTGGTTCTTCCTTTAATAAAGTGCTTAATTGTTTCTGTGCACATGACAGGAACAGTTCCAAACTGGACAGGCTACGCTGGCGAACAACTTGATCGAGCTGTTGAGTTAAAAAGAGAAAAGAAAGAAAAAAAAAATCAATAGTAAAAGATACATGGAATAAATATTAAATTACAACACAAATAACAATACAATCCTTTCATAATGAAACACTTTAAAATGCATTTTGAGCATTTAGAATTCTTATGAAAATTGAAATATTATTACACTATTTCCTATGGATATTTTTCCTAAAATTAAAATGCATAGGAAAGGCTAAGCATAATTTTGCAACACCTGGAGATGTTTTGTTAGAAAATATTAAGAGGGCTAGACTATTAAATGCAAAACACTGGCAAAACTTACACAATCATACATAGTACTCTAAGGGTGTCTCTCAAATATGGAAATACTAAAGCATGACGCAGTATGGGTGGTTACTGTGCCGTGGGCACTGTGCATAGTTAGATTTTACTGCTATGTTGCCGTAGCAGTGCACTATACCAGGGAAGTGTGCCACCACAGTGACACAGCTGCCAATCACATGCAGGCCCATGATCACTATGTCGCCATTCCCCTTCCCCAAGTATCCTCCTGAGAACTGTACACAATCAATAATGTGTCCTCAGAAATTACTGATTGATATTTCCCACATAGAAGAGTCCTGCTCCATCAAGAGCTGGACCATTCCATTAGATGGACCAAATGATGCATCTTACAGTAGAAGCAGAAAAAAAATGGAAGAAAATGCCAATATGAATGCTAAAAAAAAATCCACTAGTGCCAAATTACCACACATGTTCTGATATCCTAAACTATGTTTCTTTTCAGGATGAGTCATTCTCCTTCCAGTTTTGTATTTCCCATTGTTGAATTCAAAACTCTTCTGGTGATCTGAAAACATACTAATGGAAAGGTCCTTTATTATACAAGGGCCCTTTGTATAATATTTTAATTCCCTTAATATACACCTTAACATTTAAATGTGGGAATCAGTAAGAGTGAAATCCTGGCTATCAGTGATACCAAAGGAAAGCTTTACTGTTGGCTTTGAATATACTAGGATTTTACCTTGGGAATCAGGAAAAAAAGGCTTTTAAACAAAATGCTTATGGCATAATGGAAGATGATATATGGCAGAGAACTAATTTGGCATTCAATGGGTGTGCAACAGTAGTGAAGTTCATGGAGGAAGGGAGCAAAAAGGATTGAAGTGGGCAGGCAGTAACACAAAGACATATTATCACTTATGTATTCTTATTCCTTTAAAACAAACTTTTAGCCATTTGGTTTCTTGGATTCACCAAAATTGTTCCTGGCATCTGAATAAAAAACAAACAAGCCAACAAACATCCATAGCTATGTCAGAGTTATGAGGGATGCTAAAACTAATACACGGCACTGCTGACCAGGCAGGAATGATTAAAACCATCTGACTCTGCAATAACTATACAACTTCCTACTGATTTTTTCCTTCTTTCAGGGACAATGACAACAGAAAGATTCAGACAATTAGGCTAACTGTAATCTGGAAGATAATGCTGCTGCTTAGAAAAGATACAAAGACTATTCATTTTAAAAGGAAAAGGACAGGCTTGGAAAAATCACAGGTATCATACGGAAGCTGATGTTAGGCAAGCTAAAGAGTACAGCAACTTTACTAACCTCTTGATACCAATATAAATGACGGATTAGCAATCCATGGTTTACTGGCCTCATGTAGGCCAGAGATTAGATCCAGTTTGTGGCAGTAGGGATCAAGGGCACGTGGCAGTGTAGGCATTTTCTCTGCCCTGTGCTCTGTACTTCTGTGCAGCATCCAGCAGGCGGCCACCTCAGCCTTTTCTGCTGCGCCAAGGGCTTCTCTCTTGCCCTATTACTGCAACACTGGTGATGGAAATCATCAGCAACTGGTGGCAATGGGAAGTAAAGGTTGTGGCTTTGGCACTGTGTAAGGCATCAGTGGCTTGTGGCTCCAGTTGGGTTACAGAGGGCCACTTGCTGTTCTTGAAGGTTGCTGCCCCCCTATGTGAAAGGCTTGCGCTAACAATCATGGTCTTTTACTGCTTCAGCTATAAAAGATACTTCTACAACAAACTGATCATCACCCTAAAATGTACACTGAAAAAAAATTAAACCCTTGTCTTTCAGTTCCAGGAGAAAAGACGTTTACTAGTAGTACAGAAAACTTGATGTGACAGGTTTTTATTCACTTGCTGCCTCTTTTCTGAATTCTGATGGAGGCTATTTCTGCCAGGGAGTAGGAACTAAATATTGCATTTCACCAGGGGAATGATCCTGTGCAATTAAACAAACAAATGCAGACTGACAGGATTTATCAAGATTTAAATGCATGACATGGGAACACAGGTTACTAAAATGCCTTTGAAATTTCTGAATGCTATACTATTAGTAAATGAAATGAGTAGCAGAAGGCCCTTCACTTAAGTTTCAATTTTAAAATATCATGCAAATGATATAACAGTAGAGCAATTCTTTCAACACAGCCATCTTTGGTCAGCCACAAATTCCCCCAAATTTATGTATAATAAACTCATGGGGGGAGGTTGAGAAGTAGTAGTACAAGCCTTATGGGACAAAAGTTCTGTCACTCAAAAGACAGTAGGTAATATAATTTGGGAGCAATCTAAGTTTGTACCACATCTGGCAAGCTGTGGTAGACCAGTGAGTAAGTGGGGTTTCAAACTTCATAATACTAGCAAAGTATCAACCAACATGAGGCCATGTGGCCGTGGCAGGACTAAAGCGGTTAGCATGAGGGAATGGTCATATTTTATAAAACTATGTTACATGCACCATCCATCTAGCACTAATGGTTTTAATTACAGCTTTCAAAAAACCCCCTCAGATCTTGTGGTATGTCTCAGGGTATATATGTAGGCAGCCTGCCATTCAGCCATCATCATAATACTATGCCAAAGATTTCCATGGGTGTAATATTCTATAATAGACAACAGCTTTTTAAATTTTTAAACCAGAATGCTTAGTGAAACTTAGTGTCTGGTACTGTGACTGAGTGAACAATGGTAAGTGTGCTGCTTGTCCTGAAGCAATATTTTGCTAGTTCTTTGCAATACACACCAAACTCTTGTTGCAAACCTTTGAAGTTAATAGCCTTGTCTTTCAGCAGCCATGCCTCTGTGCTAGCCCCACCCAAACTATACACCTGTTTCCTGAAAGCCAAACCCACCCCTTGCTCTCCTCCAGTTTCTTACATCAGCTTCTGTACAATTCTTCTTGTTTTTCAGTTTCACACATTTCTCCAGCTGCCAAGCAAATTTCTTTTTGCACCCATTATCAGCTGTCCTGATGTACAACTGGGTCTGAATTTAGCCCATGGTTTATTAAGGTGGTTTTCAACAGATCAAGTTGAAATGCAGTACAAGAGGGCAGTTTTTGATAAAATTTGGTAATAATAGCTAGTAAAACTTAGGCCCCCTTCTCCACATTCTATTTCTTGTGCAATTACCTGGTTAATTGTGCAATAAATTCAGACTGGTTACACATGCAGATTAACTACTGTGCTTTAACCAGGTCCAGCCAACTACAAAGTTATTGCTCACAAATATGTACTAACTTTATACCTGGTTTCTATCCAGCTTTAATTTGCACGTGTAAACAGTCCTGCTGCTGGGAGATCTCAGCTGCTGCAATCTCCCAGCTGCTGGGGAGCACAATGAACCCCCAGGGGTGGAGGATTGCAACCAATATGGTCTCCAGCTGCAAGGGTGCTCTAGGCACTGGCTGCGAGATTGAAGCTGCTGCAAATCTCCCAGCCATTAGGATCTCCCAGCTGCAGGACACTCCACATGGCCCCACAGCTGGGAGACCCAGCAGTGCCTCACAGCTGTGTGGGTTGAGAGTCCCACAGCTGATGGGGCTCTTGGTCCCAGATTCTTGTGGTCTCTGCAGCTGGGGAAGCACTGTCACTGCACTGGCAATAATGTGCTATGGGAATGAATGTACAATCCCACAATCACACCTCCTACCATGCATGTGTAGTGTGGCAGGAGGTGCAACTGGGTGGCTTGCACATTAGACCCCATCATGCCTTTACCTACATGCATAGAGAAGGCCTAACAATCGATGAGGGGTTTAGCCAATAGCAAGGTAAACCCTGAAGGAGCAGCCTTTACATGTGACAAACTGGACAAGAGGACCAAATAAGAGCCTGTAATAGCAACAGCTCACATCACTTTGGGGATCTTGCCTCCTTCCTCTTCTGCTTTCCCCCAACCCAAAACACTGGAGCAGATGATTTCCATAGTAGTCTACACGGGAGTTTTCCAGAAGTGTTCTGTGCCTCATTCCCTCCCCCACTGGATCCCCTATGAGAGGGAGATACAGCCCAATTTACACTGGATCATCTGTTTCATCTTAGCAGGGAATATTTGAGACCCATTTCTCTAGAAGTATCATTAAGTCATCAAGTTCCCCACCCTCTAGTGTATGTATCAGTTGGCTATGCTTAGTATGAAACTGATTTTCAACAGTTTCTCTTTCATGGGACATTATATCATGAACACTTACAGCTTGTCCTTTATTGAGGCAGCAAGGGCTTTGGCTAAACTTTCCATTTTGTTTTCTTTCAACCTGATCTTTCATATTCTATTTCATGTAGATGAAAGAAGCCCTCCAGATGTGTGATACGTGACACAATAGTGGTAACTTTCTTTTTTAGGGTAGCAATCTCAATGTGTATACTTTTGCATTTGTCTCACCAAGTATTAATGTAAATGTCTCCTGCCTGTTGTAATTTGGAAGATTCTGAACAGAATGGCATATCTTTGTCCTTTGAGGTGAAAGCTTTTGATTTTAAAAGTCTGAGGTGAATAAGCTATATTTCTTATGTTCCTTTGTTGGGTTCAATTGGTTAACTAGTTGTACTTTATTTGTAGGAAAAGAGTACCAAAAACTTCTATGAATTCTGTAACCTAAAAGATCAGAACTCAGCTGCCTCTTGTCTCCTCAGTTTATGTGTTAGCTTTGCCTTTCCATTAAACAGTACATTTTTATACTCTTTCATGCTATAATAAATGA